AAAAAAAAAAAAAAACAGAATCATACACTAGTTCCAGGAGCAGGGCTGCAAATCTGCCGCTCGAATAATCTGGCCGCAATATTGTTCCTTCTAAACATTAATTTCTTACCAAAATCAACACACGATTTCATCTCTCTTTTTCTCTTCTTTTTTTCTCTCCTCTGAGCTCAAACTACACTCAGTCTTTCTCTCTCTATAAGCTTCAAGAGACAATGGCGACTACTAGGGCTCGATCAAAATTTCGTCTTTTGCAAGTGGGAGGGTTTTTTGCGGAGCTTTTTCATGGAGGGAATAATAAAAACGAAGCTCAAGAGCGAGAGGATAGAAAGAGAGAGAGAGAGAGAGGAGAGAGAAACCAATGACGTTAGTTTTGATTCGTAGAGCACCCACAATGCTTTGGGTCTCTTAGAAAAAAGTTACATGCCATGTAAGAAATAGACCTAGTCTATAAAAAAATGTTCTCCAATGCAATTAAATGTAGACCTAGTCTAGCTTATGTGGCAATAAAAAAATGAGACCTAGTCCACACTTGGGTCTATTTTAGACCCAAGTACAAACCCAAGCACTCATCATTTATTCCTCATTTAGTTTTTCTTTTAATAAATAAAATATATTAGAGCATTTTTATTGGTTGTCATGTATTCTAGACCTAGTACTTTTTTGTTTTGCATTGGATAGATTTTGGATTTTTTAGTTTGAGTTTGTCCATGTCATTATGGACTTAAGTCTATTTATTTGCCACATATGCAAAAAGAGACCCAAAGCATTGTGGATGCTCGTAGAGAGAGAGAAGACAAAAGGGGGAAAAAGCAAAAGCCAACGTTTGTATGTTTTGAACCACACAAATTACCACCAAAAAAGATAGAAAATTTTGAAGTCAAATGAAGAGCTATTTGAGCTCGGTGTACACTACGTAGACATATATGCTATGCATATTAATTCATCTCATATAAATTTTATTTTTTTCTACTAATATAATTTTTCTCGCAAAAAAGAAATTGTGGCCCGCAGTTAATGATGGTCGACCACCGATTGTGGCCGGTCTCGTTTCGGCTGGCCGACAATTTTGGTCATGTGTGGCCACCGTCGCCGAAGCGGCCAACACTGGCCAGACCCTAAATTGTCGGCCGGCTGGACCGAGCCCTACTGCAAGCCAGGGCCGACTGAAAAACTCACCTCGTCGAAAGATATTTTTACGCTGTAAATTGTCTGGTAGAGAGAATTTATAATTTCTGTAGTTTTTTAAAAAATGGCAGGTACAAAATGGTCTAAAGGGCGGTTCGTAGTAGTAGGGACAGTGAATAGCAACACTCTATGATGTAGGGAAGCGTACGAGTGGGAAGGATAAACGAGATACTCTCTCGTAAAACACGCTAAACTCACAATATCAATTCATCTTTTATTCATAATCAACTGATTAAAATAAACTAGAGAGAGTCCATTATATAAGGCCCCTAATCTTAAACCACTTAATCACCAAGAAAGTTAAACCTAATTTATTCTATAAGACAGTTATTAAATAATAATAATAATCTATACTAATCTACACCAATTATAATCTATACTAATCTACATCATTCTCCCCCAGTTCGGAAGGTTTCGCCCTTGAAGCCAATGCGCACCCGTGGTCGGCGTGTGTTGTCGAACCCATGGTAGGAAACCCCCATCGTTATCCTCGGTCGAACACGAAGGTGGAATGTCGCACCTCCATGGTAGCACCCCCCTTTAATTTCATGGAAAGGCATATATGCAGTAAATTTGAAGTAGGGATAAAAAAATATCATTTATTTGCAAGACCGCAACAAATTTCCGTGGAAGAAAAGCTCGGGCCTGCACAACAGAAGAACTACCAAATCATCCAACCGCTGAATTTCGATACCCGAAACATGATGTAATTCCTCCAGCTCCGGAGGCTCTTAATTGAAAATTGGCGGACTATCGTAGAGACCGTCCACTTCACCGGTAAGACGCTCCTCGACCTCCTCGGGTCTTTCATCAAACACAGGCGGACCATCGTACAATGGCCCATCAACTAGCTCTTCGTCGAATTCGGGGATGTCTACACGAAACGAGCCCTCCCATCGACCATAATCACGATAAAATTCCAAATCACATCGGGCACGATATCCGCCGACGATGGCAGCTTCCTCGCGCTTGCCTCTGTCTTCGCGTTGATCGTCGTCATCCACGAAAACTGGGCCCCGTCGCCGCATGTCACTCAGCCTTTCTCTCTCTATAAGCTTCAAGAGACAATGACGACTACTAGGGCTCGATCAAAATTTTGTCTTTTGAAAGTGGGAGAGTTTTTTGCAGAGCTTTTTCATGGAGGGAAAAATAAAAACGAAGCTCAAGAGCGAGAGGATAGAGAGAGAGAGTCGAGACAGAGAGAGAGAGAGAGAGAGAGAGAGAGAGAGAGAGAGAGAGAGAGAGAGAGAGAGAGAGACCAATGTTAGTTTTGTTTCGTAGAGAGAGAAGAGAAAAGGGGGAAAAAGCAAAAGCCAACGTTTGTATGTTTTGAACCACACAAATTACCACCAAAAAAGATAGAAAATTTTGAAGTCAGATGAAGAGCTATTTCAGCTCGGTGTACACTACGTAGGCATATATGCTATGCATATCAATTCATCTCATATAAATTTTATTTTTTTCTACTGATGTGGTGGTAGTAGCGCCTCATGAAGGACCGGTTGTGACCCGAGTTCTAGTCGCACTCAGCTGGATGGTTCAATCTGATAGGCATAGCCCATGGTACCTTGGGAGTACATGGGTGGTAGGCGGAGGTTCTGGTAGGCGGAGGCTCTAGTAGGCATAGCCCATGGTACCTTTGGGTACATGGGTGGTAGGCGGAGGCTAGCTCAACGTGGGCTGGGCAGGACACCTTGACACCTAGGTAGCTGGACGTCCTATTGAGGGGACCAGGGCCTAGAGGTGGCATCGTGCTCGAGTCATGAAGAGGTTTGCAACCTCAATGACTCTTAGGATTTTGACCTAATCCAGAGGAAGACTCATAGTATGATAAGAATTCTCCAACTACTACATAACTTCATCTATAAAAAGGGGACATGTTATTTCACTTACATAACACACACACACAAAAATTCTCTCGTTACTCTGTCGTTTTCTCTTTGGACCACCACTGACTTGAGTGTCAGAGTGTTCGCGCCGGGACCACCCCGGCGTGCTTTGCAGGTATCGGCGATCAAGGAGACATAACTCGGTTCGGAGAGGAGCGGTCCAGCGGTTTAAGTGTTTGTGGTATAACATCTACTAATATAATTTTTCTCGCAAATATAATTAACTAATTCAAAAAAGAAATTGTGGCCCACAGCGAAAGGGGCCGAATTACTGACGGTCGACCACCGATTGTGGCCGGTCTCCGTCTGGACAGCCGGCAATTTTTGGCCATGTGTGGCCGGCCGCCGGCGAAAGCGGCCAACACTGGCCTGACCCTAAATTGTCGGTCGGTCGGACCGAGCCCTACTGCAAGCCATGACCGACTGGAAAACTCACCTCGTCGGAAGACATTTTTTCGCTGGAAATTGTCTGGTAGAGAGAATTTATAATTTTTGCGATTTTTGTAAAATGGTCTAAAGGGCGGTTCGTAGTAGTAGGGGCGGTAAATTGCAACACTTTATAAAAGTGTTAATTATGAAATCAATCTTGACTTATGTGGTGTAAATAAATTATAATTGGGTATTTGATGAAATGATTATGACAATTGCTAAGTTAAAGTTTGTAAACTATATATACATATATGTGTTCTTATTAAATTATTACTATTATTTAAATATCGTAGTCACTAAAGCAAGAGTGGATTATAATAAAAAATAGGATTAAATTGTATAATTTGGTGTAGGTTAAATTTTTTCTATATATTGCTGTGCAACTTAATTTTTTTTTTTTCTTTCACAAATTTTGTTATCAGTTCAGTATGATTTTGCTAGAACCGAAACAAAATGCATAGAAAACCCAAAAAATAGAGTTGAACTAGAAATATCGGTGTGATTTTGGTGCTATGATTTATGGGGGTGGGGAGAATTAAGTTTTTTAAGAACAAAATAATTGTGAAAACGACAAAAAAAAAAAAA